TGGTCGACCGATCGCTAATCACAGTTTGATTATTTTCTTACACTCTTCAAAGAGAATAACCTGGCTCTAGCATCTAATCTTCTATTTAATCTCACTATTTTGAAAAAAGATATTGGGAATAGAAAGACGAACATACTTGTTACAAGTAGAACAGTGATGCGCCCGGTCCGGTTTAATTATACCGCATACTGAGCAAACGTTGATGTTGCCGTCACGGCCCACCATATACACCGGGAGTTGACGGTCATCAACCAACCGTTCGATGATGGTATTTCGATCTTGGTCTGTGTTCTGTACGCCGCGCAACAAATCCCAGTCCTGAGTTGTCAGTTTAAACTGCACGAAAATGATAACCAAACGCACGGAAAAACAAATGATTCATTGGATTTGAGAAAACGGAATTCAAATGGTCATTTCTCATGAACCTTACAAATCCTGTTAACGGCAACACCATCCCAACATGACCTCACCACAGCATAAAAAGAATGACGAACTCTCATTATAGGGGTTCAATGAGATATGAACACAGAACTGTCCATGAATCAGGTCATCACGACTACCTGTGAGGAGTTGCGTTACCTTTGTTAGGTGACTACAGTTATTCTAGTGCCACTCTCTGTGTAGTCGGAGCAATAATAAGCAAGCGTGCAGAACCAAAACGACCGCCGCGGTTGAAGGATCGGCCCTGATTTATGAACCTCGCCTCCACATAGTCAAACAGTCAAGCTATTCGTGGGGTGAACTTAGAACAAGCTGTTCTACAGAGATAGGCAGTTCAGTGTAAAAACCAAAGCGAGCAACGAAGCATCTGCACAGAGTAATGGGTCGCATATGTGTCGCGTATGCGTGACTGCTTTTTGCTTACTCACTAAGTCAATCTATTTTATGCAAACTGTCGATAATCAATTTGCACACACTATCTATGAGTACCCAGCCAGGCTGATGACCAGTACCAGTACGATCTTGAAAGTAAGTGACTACGAGAGAGTAGACACAACACAACACTGTTTTCTTATGCCAAAAAAGCTTTTCCAATGAATGCTTGCAGAGCGTTTCGGTAGGCTATCGACAGACTTTTCCCACATAACATAATCATCAACCGGAGATGAAAAATGGATACAGAATGATGAGGAAAATGTATACGACCTAGCATTTCTCCGTACAAGCCGCAAAGATGCTGAATATCAAGAAAAATCAAGTAGTTTTGACTTTAGCTGCTGACTGAGGAAAACCTTCGCCCGATCAGTCCATCTATGAAGACACCTAGGAACGCTACCATTCGTCACAAAAACTGAAGTTGGTGGCTTTTGAGCCTCCTGCCTTGTTCCTCTCTCCATGCGCAGCCGCGTGTCACGCAGGTTTTCCGTAACCTTAAGGGATTTTTTGATCTATCCTCTATCCACTTGCGTTGAATAAGATTCGCGGTGGCAATGGGAAGAATACGTGCAAACAGTCCATAACCATTATTTTCCAGAATGAAACTCAGAGCACTTCGTGCTGGCTCCGTCCCACCAACGACTAAGGTCACTGTGCACTCAACGATAGTGTCATAAAAGGACAGATGAGACTATGCAATATGGAAGCAAAGTGTCTTGCAGTGTCGACACCATTCAGCTGCTCAGTAGTAGAGGTAAAACCGAACAGGATTTTTCGGTGCGTCTAACAGAGCTAGATGAAGGCGTTACTCAAGTTGTGTACTCAACCCACACGTTCTATGATATCAAATGCTGTGGTGAAAATTATTTCAAAACACAACCCCGAAGAATTTTCGGATGGAATAATCAGAATCAACGGAAAAGCTCAAGAAGCGCCTACGGATGTTGGGACAGTATCAACAACGAACCAGTATTAAACCAGGAACACTGAGCTAGTGAATCTGGACACAGAGAGTCTATCTCAACGAACACAGATGTTATGCAATCGGTCGGTGTGAGACTAACATGCACACCTGTGGAAAACGACAACCTTTTACGGAAAGGTGATGACCGGCCTTGTTGACCATCTATTGGGAGCGAGCGAGCCGTCGACCATCTACGGAAAATGCTGATCCCATGGACAGCGCTTAGATGTAATACTCTGTCGGCATACACCTTTTAGCACTGAGAGAGCTTCAGTGGTTAGAGCGCGAATTCATTGACCGGAAGGTCTGCGGTTCGAACTCGACCTCTGCCTCTCGACTTCCCCTGTCTAGGCTTGGGCAACCTGGCAGTATCCCAGCCTTCGTGCTTCCTTCGGGTGGCAGGGCAGCTAAGCACCGGAAAGGTGTTACAGCTGAACGATTAATTAAAATTTAATTTTAGCACCGAATCAACAGATGCTCTGATTTCCAAGCTGATAATTATGAACCCACTGTATATCGAGGTGCTTCCGACAGGTCTAAAATCCAGTTGGAAAGCAATTGTCCAAGGTAAAATAAGCAGATTAAGACGCAACTCGTTAATCGTTAGACTAAAAAAACTCTTTGACAGCCCACTATCAGTTTCATCCTTCCTGTGGCTTACCAGTTAGACACAGCCCCTGAGTTTCCACCAACCTTATTCTATACTTGAACAGATCACGACGTCAGACTGAAACACTGTTTGCGGACGCACACGACGGATCTGGGAAATCAAGCTAAATAATCATAATGCACTTTCCAAGGTAGAAGATACTATTGCCAATACGTCTATATATTGGTGGATCGGTTAAGTTAATTAGCTATTGATCGGATGGTAGTTGAGCTGTCGTCGAGCTCAGCAGCTGGCTTTCAAACGATGTGAGGAGACACCGTCAGTGCACGGTTAGGTGGGCGACTCCTTCATTTCTGTTTGCGTTTATATAGCTGGCTGTCAGACCATTTCTCTTAATTACTCTTAGTGACAGGTAGGACGACACAATAACCGATGCTTCTCCACTCCCTTTTTACGGCAGCTACCATAACCACCGTTGACAGCACAACACCAATGTTCAACACCACACTGCAACCCCATCAGTTTTGCAGTCGGAGACTTACGCGCACCAGTACAACGGAGGATTTCTGCATGGTAGTGAATGTTGATTCAACCGTTTCAATGCACGCATCAAGGCCTTGGATAGTAATCAACAACTTGAGCAGTATCATCGTACAAACAGATGGCTTCAGATTAAACTAAAACAGGACCAGACCTACGACCGAAACTCTCGATTACAATGAAACCGCCTAACCTGTCCAAGGAATGCTCGGAGTTATGACAATTATGAAGTAAGAGAGAATGCTTCGGGTTCATCCAGCTGCAAGTTCATTGTTTCATCTTATCTCAAATTAATCTTCCGTACGCGAGTCAGTGATGGAGCCACGACAGTATTAATGATAGTAAGAAATTCTTTACGGATGGACTGGGTGTATGATATCCGTACAAAAAACCATCTGCATTTAGAGAATGCTGCTTTCTGTAACGTCCCGGGAGGTGGAATCGACAAAACAGTGAAAACAGTAATCGCTTCCCAAAACTTTGATGTCTACATTCGGATACTGGAGGCACCGGACACCATGAGTTGATAAGTGATATTTCAGCAAAACAGTAAAACAGGCCACAGTCCCCATCTCGAAAAGATTGAACTCTGTTCTGCCGCACGAATTCGTCGTACTGGCTAGCCTATGATCCTGAGTTCAAACAGAGTGACAACGCGCGGAGCATATTGGCCGGATTTATTGTAGGTATGTCTGAGGCTCCAAAACTGAGTGGACAGCTACTGAAAAACCCATATGGAAAAACATGTTAAAGTGTTCTCCAGGGATCACTAAAAGTATAACCAAGCGAGTCGAAGTTCTGAGGTAAAATGAATTGGCCAATCGTTGGAAGCTGTCTCGATGGGGCGGTAGCTCGGGGAAGTCTTATAGATCTATCTCACCCCCCCCCGGCACTTCTGAGTCTGTTCTTCTCAGGCAAGTTCCCGTGGGTCTGGAATGCAGTAGTAATCAGAACCTGTTGACCAAAACTCACTCCATGTAGTCCAAATGCAGAGGGGTTGTGATTAAAAAAATTACAGAGGTTCAGTAATTTAGTCGGGAAGTGTAGGCAACTGACAGGTTACAGATGCGAACTGTCTGTAAAAACAATGTGAGTTATTGAATTGTTCCTGAAGGATCACACTGAACGATGGTGGTTCCGATCTGCCGATAGTAGAGGAGGCAATAGCATACGAGAAGTTTAGCAGTACCTCTATTTAAGGAGTATGCGGCCCGGAATTTCGCATAATATTTTCACGTGATTTCGGAATAGTATCATATAAATCGTTTAGATGTAGCACGCTTCCGGTGCCTAACTGCCATGCTACCCGAAGGAATCACCGGGACTGGGATACTGCCAGGCTGCCCAAGCCTAGACAGGGAAAGTCGAGGGGTAGATGTCAGGTTTGAACCATGGACCTTCCGGTCAGTAAATTCGCGCTCTAACCACTTGGACCATCATATAGATTTTCTATGTATTGGCCAAGAGGGTCGGTGACAGAAAACATACTTGGTTTAGTGCCTCCGTTATTCCTTTAAGTTCGATGGCCATCTTCAGTCGTATGAAACACTCCATAGTCGCATGTGTACTAAAAGAATTTCAGACGTATCTGAGGCCCACAACGAACTTGCGGAATCCAGGACAAAACTGTGTTCTGAGTCAGTATGCTAGGTAGAACCAGTCTCCAAAAACACTAATGGTGAATATTAAGGAGAAACCGATTCAATCTCACAACCACTGAACTAAGCCAAACACCGCTGCCTTGCGGTTAGGAATCCAGGACCTGTGTTCTGAGTCAGTATGCTAGGTAGAACCAGTCTCCAAAAACACTAATGGTGAATATTAAGGAGAAACCGATTCAATCAATCAACCACTGAACTAAGCCAAACACCGCTGCCTTCCCGTCTTCCCCCCCGCCCAGATTTGAATACTTTATCCGCAGGTCCCAGCTCCAGGACTGACCGTTTTGCTCGCCCTGCATCACACTCAGCTCAGCCTTCTGCACGTCCCAGGTCAGTTGCAATCCTAAGCACTTCGAAGTCTGTTTTCAAACCCCGAAAGCCTGTCTACTTAGCCACTTTCAATGTTCGCACACTGAAGCAAGCAGGTCAACAGGTGGCTCTTGCGCGTACGCTGGATTCCCTCTGTATTGATGTATGTTGTCTGTCAGAAACAAGGACGCAGGACGCAAGTACTGT